GAAGGATTACCTGAGCCCAGCAGGTCGAGGCTGCGGTGGCTGTGAGCATACCACTGCATTCCAGCCTGGGTGACAGAGTGAGACTCTGACTCAAAAAATAAACAAAACCCCAAAACATCACTTTTCTCCTTCTCCGCTCCCCCACCTCAACCACTTAAACTCAAGACTGGCTGGGCACAATGACTCACACTTGTAATCCCAGCACTTTGGGAGACCAAGGCAGGAGGACTGCTTGAGGCCAGAAGTTCAAGACTAGCCTGGGCAACGTAGCAAGACCTCATCTCTACAAAAAAAAAAATAGCTAGGCATGGTGGTGTATGCCTGTAGTATCAGTTATTCAGGAGGCTGAAGCAGAAGGATTGCCTGAGCCCAGGAGGTAGGGGCTGCTGTGAGCCATGATTGCACCACTGCACTCCAGCCTGGGTAACAGAATGAGACTATGACAAACAAACAAACACAAACAAAAAAACCCGCAAGCCTTCACAAAAAAATGAAATGAAGACAGCTCACTCTGTTACCAGGTCTAAGCCTACTTTCATATTCATTTTAGTTTATCCCGGCCTATAGTAACTGCTGTTTCCTACACATTTACTATGTTCTAGGTACCAACGCAATCTCTTTTGCATGTGCTATTACAGTTAATCTTTTTATAAGGCAGCAATTTTTATCCCTTTTTTTTTTTTTTTTTTTTGAGTTGGAGTCTCACTCCATTGCCCAGGCTAGAGTGCAGTGCCATGCTCACGGTCACCCCAGCGTCGACCCGCTAGGCTCTGGTGATCCTTCTGCCTCAGCCTTCCAAGTAGCTGGAACTACAGGCGTGTGCTACTGCGCCCAGCTAATTTTCGATTTATGGTAGAGACGGGGTCTTGCCAAGTTGCCAGGCTGGTCTCGAACCCTTGGGCTCAGGTAATCACTCGCCTTGGCCTCCCCAAATGCTGGGATTACAGACTGAGCCTCTGAGCCCGGCCTATCTCTATTTTATAGGCAAAGAAACTGAGGCTTCCTATATCTAAGCAACTCGGCCAGCACAAAAGCAGCTAAGAGGTAAAGCGCAGATTTGAGCCCAGGTTCGTCTGACCTGAAACCTACCTTTAACCACCACATTACAACACTTCAACATGCAGCACTGTAATTTAATAAGGACTTTGCAAGTGGCCTTGACCAATGCAAAATGTCACCAGTCTGAAACAAACCAAAAACCCGATTGAGATGAATGCTGCCTCTGTCATTCGAGAGCACTACAGTGTCAGACACCCTTAAGGGAAGGGATGTTGACCAAAGAAGCAAAGTTATGTGTATGTGGTCACAGGCAACATTTCCTTTCCATACTTGTGGTACTAAACATAACCAGAAGAACAAATTTCTTCCCTTCCTCTTCCAAAGGCACTGGAAGCATGAATTCTTAATCTCTAAACTGAAGACTCTCAGAATCTCAAACACTGGGACTTCTGAACAATGCAGTAAACGCTAGACAACATCAGGTGGATTTCATCAGGCACTGAAAATAGAACGATCAAGTAATAGCACTGGTAGCAATATCTATCTGTCTATATTAATGTTGTGTGTGTCTAGATGTACACAGATGGTTATTGTGCATCTGTTGACAAACATCCATTTCAAGATTGTGTTCCCATAAACATTTGCCCAAAAATTCCAGGAAAGCTGAGAGAAAGAAATATGTATTCTCATTTTCCAGATTAAAAAGAAGCCACCCTAGAAAAGCACAACCAGGAAGAATTCATGTAAGAACTGCTTCGCAGGGGGCACATGAAGACCTGGCTTTCCTTTCAGCTGCCCTGGGGACAGAGTTTGCACACAGAATTTCAAATCTGGTGGGCGGCGCTGCAGGTCACCCTTTAATGACCTCTTTATTTTGCAGATAAGGAAACTTGGACCCTGAAAGACAAAGGTTTAATGGAGGCAGGATCAGACAGGTCTCCAGACTTTGTTTCTACTGCCCTCCAGAGTCCCTCTATGAAATTATAGAGAATTATAGAGACACAGCACGTTGATTAAAAATGTGAAATCACAGAGTTCCGTTCACTTCCCCGAACCCACTGAGAGAGCCAGGGAGGGGGGTGTCATCCAAGCCTTGGGAGCCCGGGTGCCTCCAGGCCAGCCCAAGACTCCTCGGCCGCGCGACCCGAGACCCCTCTCAAACCGAACCCGAGCACGCGGGAAGCGGGGCCCGGAGGCTCTCTCGCAACAAAAGGCAAAATTCGGCGTTCCGGGCTCCGATTTCCGCAGGGAGCCTCCTCGCAAAACTGCTCACCGTGAAGGCGGCAGGGGCGGGGCTCCGGGACGCTCGGCCGGGAGCCTCGG